TCTTATGGACGGACCTATTTTGATAGCTGTACGACGGCAGGCCGACAGTTGTCGTTCTCGCTAACTTCAATTTGATTCTACATTTACCAACAACAGTAGAGTTGACAATAGAATGGAAGATAGTGAGATGAGGTAAAGTGGTGATGCCACTAATATGTAAAATGTAAAATTATTCATAGCTCTAACAAACTTGATGTTATTTTACAAATAATAGCATAAAATCGCTCTGTTACATCATTTGTAATAACAATTGATAATTTGAAAGGAATAAATTTACCTATTTACTTATATTTTGCATAAAAAATTTCACTTTGAACAAAATATTAAAATTTCATTGAAGTGCAAGGTATTAGTATGGCCACAACGAAATTGTGAACATGCAAAATGGACAACTGAGTTGTTTTGTGTACATGCCGGCCATTGTTATGTTGCTGCCCCCTCACAAACGTTCTTGTAGTAGGATTCACAACGCCATTTTCAGTTCACTGTCGTGCTGCTGCAGTCTGTCGCGAGCATTGTATTCCGCGCATCAATTCACAAATGAAAACACAAAGCCAGTTGAGAACAGCGTTAAATTCAGCTATTTTATAGGAAAAGTAAAACTTAATATGTGTATAAATTGTTAATCAACATTTAATAACCTTTCACTATAGAGAATATTCCAAAGACGCGATTTATAATTTTCACTCTTTCCAGCCAATTTTGCATATAMATTTGAGCGTGTTACAATACTATTAAGACAATTGCTAAATCTCTAAATTGAATATAATATCTACGTTAGTAATGCACACGCCGTGTCTGTACGTGTCGCTCTTTTATAGTTGCGCATTACCTTTCCATTACAATCGTGTCTAAATCTGTATTAGCATGCAAACTATTTTTTTTTGATTGCTATTCAACTTGAACCGCTGCACTTTGCACTTCTGCACACATCACATTCGCAAGTGCATACAAATTAGCGACATTTAGCGCTGTGCGATTTCTCAACCACGATTCTCCCTATAACACATGCAATTGTTTTGCTTARCAACTTATGACGAATTTCCATTTTMTTTTCTACCGGCTTTTTCACACACAGCGCACTCATCACTCACTGAATATTTGTTAGTAGTTATATAATAGTGTATATGCATATTCCAATATGCCGGCTTTCTTGTTTGTTATTAATTTTTTTATTGAGAATTTTTTTTTTCATATTTTACCTCCTGAACTCATTTGCTTCTACTTTCATTCTACCTTGCTTGCGTTTCTATGAGCAATTGCTGTCAGTGTTCGTGTTTGTTTTTGGCGCGAATTGACAGTTAATTGTCATCGTTGATGCTAGCTCAGCCACTGCTATTGAGGTTAACGTTGACAATGGCTTTGGTGTTGGCGTTGACTTTTGCAAGCAAAGCAGYAAATCGTCGGAAAAAGCCTACAATTGGTAAACCTATTCAACAGCTTGATTATTTCTACAGCGTAATCGTTTCGCAACAGGTCGTTGAGTTTGAATTGTTATGATTCTAATGTGCCATGAAATAAGCGTGTATTGAAGTGCATGCACATATGTACAATGTAGATAAATTGAATACTTTTCAAATTTGCGCTGGAGGATTTTAAGTCACCGTCATATGGTTATAACGTTGAAATACTATAACGTATCATCAATTGCCCATTCATGAARAAGTTCGAATAGCAATTATCCGTCTGAAGACCAACAAAGCGGCGAGGACCGATAAATTATAGGCAGATCTATTCAAATACGGCGRCGAAGAACTGATAAGGTTCATGCGTCAGTTTATTTGTAGTATATGATGGGAGGAAAGCATCGYCGACGATTGGAATTTAAGTGTGCTCTACCCAATCCACAAGAAGGGAGACACCACAAYCTGCGCCAACTACCGTGCGATAAGCTTTCTCAACATCGCAAATAAGGTTCTTTCGTGCGTATTGTGTGTAAGATTAAAGCCCATCGTCAAAAAACTGATTGGATATCATCAGTGTGGCTTTAGGGCTGGYAAATCAACAACTAACCAGATATTCACAATACGCCAAAACCGAGAAAAGAGAATCGGAACGCACCACCCCTTCGTCGTTTCCAAAACTACTTTTGTTAAGTCGAAAACGGAAACGGAGAAAAACGGCTTTGTAAACAGACGTTGAGCAATACCAAAAGCGCAGTCAGAATAGGGAAGGAACTCTCCGAACCGTTCGAGCCTTTATGCCACGTTGTTTGAATTTGGTGTCCCCGCAAAACTATTACGGATTTGTAAACAGACGTTGAGCAATACCAAAAGCGCAGTCAGAATAGGGAAGAAACTCTCCGAACCGTTCGATACCAAAAGAGGCTTCAGACAGGGCGACTCCCTTATGTGCGACTTCTTCCATCTATTCTTGGAGAAAATTATTCRAGCTAGAGAATTGAATAGAGAAGGTACAAGGTGAACAGCTGCTGCGTACGCCGATGCTATTGATGTCATTGGCTACTACAACCGCGCTGTTAKTTATGCTTTCCTTAGACTGGATAAGGAACCGAATCGTGTGGGTCTGATAGTGAATGAGAACAAGAAGAAATGTCTCCTGTCATCAAACAAACAGTCGTCGCACTCGCGATTAGGCTCCCACGTCACTGTTGACTGTCATAACTTCGAAGTCGTAGATAATTTCCTCTATCTTGGAACCAGTAATAACAGCAATACTATGTYAGCCTCGAACTCCAACGCAAATAACTCTTGCCAACATGTGCTACTTTGGACTGAGTAGGCAGTTGAGAAGTAATGTCCTGTCTCGACAGATAAAAACCAAACTCTATTCAAGTCACTATTCATCATACCCGTCCTGTTATAGGATCCAGAAACATGGACGATGACARCATATGATGAGTCGGCCTTAGGAGTGTTCGAGAAAARGTTTTGCGRAAGATTTATGGACCTATTCGCATTAGCCTCTGCGAATACCATATTTGATGGAACGATGAGCTAAATGAGATATACAGTTCATSGAATTAAGAGGCAGCGGCTACGCTGGTTAGATCATGTCGTCCGACACTGCAGCGCTGAAAGTMCTCGACGCGGTACCCGCCGGGRGAAGCAGATGAAGAATAAGACCTCCGCTCCATTRGAAAGACTAGGTGGAGAAGGACCTGKCTTCGCTTGGAAWCCTTWCATTTATCTGTTTTTTGYMYCGTGAAGGCCAGTGGCAAAATCATGTTCGAAAAGTTCTGGGATYGATGAAAAAGTTTTTTGAATGTTCTGAGCTTAATATTCAGAAAATAAATGGAAAGTGGCAGATGTGGCTTGTTAGTGGCATTTGGAACTTGTGTGCATATATTATACAGTACCTTCAAATTATTAAACAGTTTTACACGCGCCCATAAGTATTTTTCCATTTTTATGCTGTCAGATAATAGTTTTTTGTTTTTAATTATTTAAAGTTCTTTGGTTTCAGCATAAATCAATACATKATTTCCATTTGGTGATGATTGTAATTATGGTATACATGCATACAWACRTATGTATGTGTGTGTAAAACGTATTAATAACTCATTTACACTAGGTAGACTCGCATGCATTTTTTTCGTGTTTCTATTTTCTTTTAGACCTTTCCTAATAGCAGAGACAACCAACTTTGAATGCGTGCTGTCTAATCGAAGGGTCATGTAAACAGTGCAGGTTTTTTTTTCTAATAATAGTTGCTCCTACCAGTCAATGCCAAACCATTAAGGTATTAAACTAGGGCAATAAACTATAAATACTTGGAAGCGTATAAGGTTTTTATTATGCATTTTATGTTTTTTAAGGGACACCCAGTTGTGGGAAAATAATACTAGGTCACATGGCGACAAAGACATTTTACTACAAATAAAATAATATAATATATTAATTTAATGAAATTGCGACTRCGACGTCGATTAGACTTTGAAAGATGTCGGAAATTTTTCGGAGTAAATTCGAAGTATTTTTTGTTAGGGAAAGTATATTAAAAATTACTTAAATACAGTTTGATTTGCTTTTAAATGTTAGGTAATGATAAATGAAAAAGAATTTCGGAGAAATTCGGAGTATTTTTTGTTAATAAAAATATATCAAAAACACTTAAGTTATAGTTGCATTTGCTTTTAAATGGTAGATTATGCTAATTTGATTATTATTATAGTCAATTTAGATGCAAGAAAATCGGAGTAAATTCGGAGTATTTTTTGTTAAATAAAAATCTATTAAAAACACTTAAGATAAATTTTTATTTGCTTTTAAATGAGTGTTACCGATAATCTCACTATTTTTATAGTCAATTATACTGAAAAAAAAAATTCGGAGTATTTTTTTTTTTTAGAAATGTTATTAAAGTATTTAAATTAAAGTTATATTTGATTTTCAATGACATATAATGATAGGCTGATCATTATAACAGTGAATTATACCATAAAATTTTTCTCGGAGTAAATTCGAAGTATTTTTTGTTGACGAAAATTTTATTGAACATATGTACTTGAGGTAAAGTTGTATTTGATTTTTATTGTCTTATAACGATAATCTGATCATTATTATATTGTATTTACTGCAAAAAAATATCAGAGTAAATTCGGATTTTTTTTTTTGCTAGAGAAAAATGTATAAAGACATTGTGTTTACTTTTCTATGTCGAACACTGAGTTTCATAGAATTTGTAAACAGTTGTAATATTTCCGGAGTATACTTTTTACTGTTGTGTTCTATCCGTAACCAACAATGAAAAGTTAAAATTCTTTGTTTAAATTTCGTTTAATAAATATTTACTTGAGATCTTTTTATAAATCATGAAARCAATTTGAGACAGCGTGGAGGCTATAAAATCCATGCGCTCGCATAACAATAATTAGTAACAATAGATGCGTGTCAAACCTTTGAGAATTATTTGCTTCATTCTCAAATTGACACCAACCGATCAAACTTAGACAATAATAAAAATAGACACTAATAAATATGTTATAAATAAACGAGCATTTTAACAGAAKTTCTTGTCGTTTTTTCCCCACATAACAGATACAGTCCCGATGGCAAGTCGGCGCCACCCGGCTGGGCTAGCCTGCTTTGCGCATTCGGACTTTTTGTTTATCAAAGTTTGGATTCGATCGATGGCAAGCAGGCGCGTCGCACAAATACCCAATCACCATTGGGTGAGCTCTTCGATCATGGCTGCGATTCCATATCGACCGTTTTCGTCGCGCTCTCGGCGTGTATATCCTGCCAATTGGGACAATATCCAAATTGGTTATTCTTTCAGGTGCGTGATACAAATTAATCAGAAATAATAATATATAATTTTTTTTTTATAACCTAACTTCTGTTGCAGTGTTTCTGTGCCATCGGCCTGTTTTATTGCGCTCATTGGCAGACTTACGTTTCAGGCACGCTGCGTTTCGGCAAAATCGATGTGACCGAAGCACAATTCACCATAATGGCTATACATATTATATCGGCGGTGTTCGGCTCGGATGTGTGGCAAGCGCGGGTATGATTTTTGTTCATTTTAAAAGATTTTTGGAAAATTGCTATTTAGTGTTTGCGGTTGAAATGTGTTAGCAATAAAAAAAATATTTTTTAAAGGCTATTATTCTTATTAAAAATTAGACTTTAGCTATTAGATTTATATTTTATTTATGTGGATTTCTAATACTTGATTTACGGAGTTTATTTTACCTGTGTTATAAAATTATATGTTTTTAAGATTTTTCTCAGTTTATAGTCTAATAGTTAGCAGTCTATTCCGGATTTATTTTCGAAGTTTCGGAGTCGCTGTTACTGTGTAAAAAGCATTTTGTTTGGGAAACTGGTATAAAATAGTATCATAGTTAGCAATTTCGGAGTTATTTCCGAGGTTTCGGCATTATTTTAAGAGTTTCTGAGTTATTTTCGGACAATTTTCAACAAAGTATTAAACATCCTCAAATTAATAGTTAGCAGTTTATTTGGGAGTTATTTTTGAAGTTTCGGAGTTATTTACGGTTTCGAAGTGGTTTTCGGAGTTGCTATTACCACGTAAACAGCCATTTTTAGTTTGGGGAGACTGGTTTAAAATGGTATCATAGTTAGTAGTCAATTTCGGAGGAATTCCGAAAATTCTCCGATTTTGTGATTATTTTCGGAGTAAATTTTATTTATTCGGCGTTTACAAAATTACTTTATACTTTTATATTCGTTTTAATGAGCGCTTTTAAGTCAAAAACTGTTTTAAATATTATTTTAAAAAAGTTAAAAGTAAGTTTCAAAACACATTAATTAACAAAAATTTCACATTTGACACATTTTAACCGCAGCACTTTCATTATAGTATACATATTGATCTRAACCTCTGCATATTTTTAGGAACTGCTATTTTATTACACAAATTGAAGTTTCTTTACAATAATACATATATTTTTTACATTTCACTTGTACACTATTCAATATCATTTTATTTTTCAGTATATTTTATGTATTTATCTTCTTGTTGTTTTTAACCCGTTTGGCCCACAAAATTTTTACTAGCATAATATTAAGTAAACCAAAACAACCGTTACATTTTTCACATGTTTACACACAAAATATTTTTTTTATTAATAAAGTGTATATTAGCAGYTAAATTATTGTAAATTAAACACCGAATATACCTAACTTAATACATGCATAGGTGATGTGGCTAACATACATACAGTTACAGYTGGTTCTAAAAAATTACAACAAAATTAACAATTCTACAAAGTTATTTATATTATTTATGTACATTTTTTTGGGAAAAATMCATCATTTTTGCATTAAGAAACCAAACAAAAAATATCAATCTCTTACCTCAATGCTATCTTTATATACATTTATTATAAATATATACCCTTTAGATGTTTGGTAATTTTCAATTGTGGTCCACCTTATCGCTAATGACCTTAGTATGTGGTATTTGGTCATTATGGTTTATATTCTCAGTTATTTTGGCTGGCGGTGTTGGCAAGAATGGCTCCACAGTTGCAGTAAGTTTGTATTAAAAAAAAAACATTTTCTTGAACAAAAAAAAAAATTTTCTTGAACAAAAAAAATTAAAACAAAAGGTGTTGCATAAGAAAAGTAGACAGACGGCATATTAAATTTAAGCATTGCAAGCAAATATGTAAAATTTTACAAAAAATTTTTTTTTACACAAAAATGCATATGATTTATATTTTAACTTAAAAAATAATAATGCATTTTCTTTAAAAATTTGAAACAAATCTTTGCAGCGTTGCCAAATTCTCATATAAAATTTGAAATGATATTTAAAAAGCGTTCAAAATATCACAACGTTGCCAATTTTCGCCCTTAATGAAACATATACAAATTCAAAAAACTCCAGCATGAATGCTTTAAATGCCACTTTGACTTTAAAAAGTTGAACAGTTTAGTTTCAAATCAACTTAGATATAAAAATTTTAAACATGAGTACGCCCGAAATGCATTTTACGAAATTTTTTTCCCCTTACATTAAGCAAGTTTTGCAAGTTTATTTGTGGAATGCAAAAGAAAGTTATGCCTTTTTGAAGTTTTATCAAAAAAATTACATTCTGATTTAAATTATTTTTSAATAAATTCATATAAATTTGGTTTACACTTAAATTGTATTAAAAAAAAAGATTGTCAGATGCTTTGTTCACTACTATAGTATTTTACATTATTCTTGTACAGTTATTGGAATTTTTATACACAAATTACTGTAATTTTGCTTCAAATTCCATTTCTTATCTTCAAAAATAGGAATTACGTTTCGAAAATAGGTTAAAACGGCATGTTCGTACAAATCAATACAAAAAAATTCGCTGAAAAGAAAGTTTATATCAGCAGGCTACAGAATTTCTAGCATACAGATCTAGTATTTTTGATATATACTCAAAKTAGGTGACCCTGTAAAGTAAAATTTGCTCACAGCGCCATCTAGCGTGCGCCTCAAATACAAATGAACTTCAGAAATTAATTTCTCGATCCCAAAAAATATGCTTCCGTAACTTGACAGTGTAATGTCCCACGGGGTCACCATTTTTAATCGAAGTTAAATTTTCCTACAGGATCACCATTTTTAATCGAAGCCAAACAGGGTCAACATTTTTAATCGCAGTTAAATTTTTCCTACAGGGTCACCAATTTTAAAATAAGTACTCAACGCATAGCAAACTATGTCATTTAGGAATTTATTTTTAAGCTAAATTTTGTAACACGCTGTAACTACTTGTGCAATACAACTTTCTGATAGCAAAATCTAAAATAATAGTACCAATCCCAGAAAACCGAGCTGTCGATAATTATTTTTTTTAGCAAAAAAAAATTTAACTTTGAACAAAAAAATACTTTTTTTACAAATAAAAAACAACATATTTTCCAGAAATACAAAAAAAAAATTCTTATAACCAAAACACTTTGCATTTGCTCTTCGAAATTTGGTAATGCCCACTAATTCCTTTTATGCCAACGATTTATTCCAATATCTACTTTCCCCTACTATTTGAAGTATTTATTTCTTAAATCTAGCTGTTAATGTTTGCTTAAACATTTGTATTTAATTTCCCTTAAATTATTGCAAAAAAGACTTAGCTGAGAGAATGCGATAATTTAGACAGACTTACAACTCTAATTACATAAAACACTATTTATATATATATAATATAATAGTAAAGTATATAAACTATGTCCCTTTACAATATAAATAATTACTTTCATTAAACATTGATTGTTATTGTATTATATTGTTTTACATACATATATATTTATGTACAAGCAAATTATGCAATATTTAAAATCCTTGAGCGGTAGCAGAAAATTTTCTCAGTGTTTATTTAAAAAAAATTACCGTTAACAATAACTGAACGTTTTACTTTAAAAAATAAAAATAAAAAATTTAAAAAATTAAAAATTGCTCATTGATCTTATTTACTGCCTSTTTTAAATATATGTGACCTGGTCTACGGAAAGGGGGCTTAGGTGTCAAAAAATCAATTTTCACGTTTTAGTTGATTCGGATGGAATATGAGATGCTTTTGTTTTTTTTAGCAGCTGTTTCCCAGAAAACTAGTTTTCGCACGTTAGCTCCCTTTTCGTAGACCAGGTCACATATAATGTATATTTGTATGTCTCTAAACTTAGTGCTCTCTATTAACTTTTACATGTTATTTAGTTTTTCCCTCTACTGTTGTATTTTATATTATATATATTTTTTATTTATTAAATCATTCATTTATGAACGTATTTATTTTTATTTGGTTGTGGTGCGTTTTATAACTGTTTTTATATTTTATATGTATTTGGGTATTTTTAAATTTGGTTAGCTTCTTCATCAAGGTCACAGTTTTCATCGATCAGATTGCTAGTGTCAGGGTTTAGAGTACTTTGTGGTGTGTTCTATAGGTAGTGATTAAAAAAACATAGTAAGAGACAACAGAAAGTTACTTTCTTCTTGGCTATATTTTCTAATAATTTTTTTGAGTTAGCGTTAAAATAAAGTTTTGTTTATTAAAAAAAGAAAAAAATGGTATAGCTTCAGCTTTAATTCCTTTTTTACTATTATTTCTAGTCTGAAAAAATAAAATAAATACCAAA